AATGAGCTGAAAAACTACTTTCAATCTTTTGCCTAATAGTATTAATTCAGAAAGTAAAGCTTTTAGCTCTTACTTGAGAAAAATAGCTTTTTTTGTTACAAAATAGGCCTGCAAATGAAAGCTGCAAAACAGTCTGACACCCAAGCATTAAAAAGAAATAATATACAAGTGGGAGAGGTAGAGTTTAAGGGTGCAAATCAGTTCTGAGATAAGTACTTTCACCTTATCACATGCGATATTTTAAAGAAAAGCAAGCCCTCTGCCTCCAATACATTTCGCATCCAGTTTGTGCAGTTTCTAAAAGCTGTTGCCTAAGATTTCAGCACTCTAAAGGAAATTTTGCTCTGGTGACATATACACACTGCAACAAAGGAAGCTGCAAACTCATACTTAAAAAAAAACAAACATCCAAAAACCCGCACTGGTGTGGCACTCTGTTGGCAACTCCCTGTGAAACAATATTCTTCCCAGCTATGAGAGAGCTCTGTGCACAAAGCATAACCCAACAAACTGTGAGTTAATAATAAATAACCAAACGACAGTGACTGATGATGGCAAAATCTTTCTCCAAAGGAATTACTGGGAAAAATACTAAAAATTCTTTCCCTCTTAATATTTTAAACTCTTTGTCTAGGGGTTGAGTTGGAACTGCCAGAAAACCCTTTTACAACACAGCTAGCATAAATTTTAGTGGGTGTTTCAATACTGAAGCATGAGAGACCAGCCTGTTAAAAAAGCTGCCCCTAGAAAAGCTGCTGTTTACATAAAATACATTGGTTCTTCTCAGCTGGGAAATAATTTGATCTGTTATATCATATGCCCTGTCACTATGGATCCAAATATGGATATGAAATATGAACATGAAGCAATACATTAAAAGAGACTTAATAAAATGAGTAATTGTGTTTTGTCTAAATCCTCTTATGCCAACAAGAGGCACATAGCTTCATAAATTCAGCAAAGTTTGCCCATTTCAGTGTGTGGGAAAGGAAAAAAACAAACAAACCTGCATCCAGGCCCTGTGAAGCACATTACTGCAGAGGGTTTTCTCAGGAGAAATTGAGAGCACTGAGGAGGGCTGATGGCTGCAGCATTTTAACTGATGGCCAGATGCAGGGGAAGAAAAGGGATCTGGAGCTGCTCTGTGCCATGACCTAACACTTGGCACATGGACAGATGATGGAAAAGTCTAACACCTCGGGTCCAGCACAATCTTTCAAAATGCAACCCAAGGCCACAGTGACAAATTTTCTGTGCTTTATGCTGCTTCTCAGTAAATCAATAACTTTAAGCAAGCAAGAAAACAAACCAAAAAAGAGGAAAAGACATAGAAGCAATCAAGTACCCCAGGATTTGTGAAAAGTCATGTTAGAACTACTAGCATATTATTATTTGAAATTCAGAATTCCAGCATTTAATTCCCAATCCTTTTAGTTCCTGTCCTTGAGAAGCTCAAAATCCTAGAGCACCAAATATAAAACCCAGGTGCCTATGACATTGAAAAGTTCCAGATTATTTATAGACACAATTTCAAAAAGATGAGTAGAAAATGCAAGATGCAGACATTTTTATTTTTCCAAACTACTGTAAACTTCCAGCTACTCTGACCTTAGCCTAATTAATCCTCTGGATATTTCACAGAAATGACATGACAACACCAATTAGCTGACACCCAGTGCTAGAGCTCAAGCTGTAATACAAGCACAGAAACATTAGGACTGTGGACACAGAGAAGAAATGAAAAGTCAAGCCTAGAACACACATTTGAGCAAGTGCAGAAGAAATGAAAGCAGACATGACACAATGAGCTGTGAAGAATAATACCTGGGTATGAACTCTGCTGAAAACAAGTCTCCCTCCATACAGAAACCTGATTATATAATTATCTTGGTCTTAAAGGAAAATCATGTACAAGTGGAGGACTCTAAACCTCCTCTACTGAAGTCAATGGCAAAGCTACCATCAGCTTCACTAGAAGTACAAGTCAGCCCACAATATTGAGGATGAAAACCTGTGTTTCAGAATATTACAGGTAGATGCAGCGCACAAAATCAAATAGAGGAAATCCAGCAAGTAATGTAGACTATTAAGCACTATTATTATGAAAACAATGTGTTCCTTAAAATATTCCTCAGCAATTTTTACAAATATCTGCATTAAGCATGCTAAAAAGATATCTCTTTTCTTTTCAATGTCAACTGTGTTTTGTTTTTGTACTGCTTAAGCACAAGAGAGTGAAGGGCACACTCTGCTGGTCAGAAGTGCCACTTACACTGAAAGCTTTACAACAATATGAGTACTAAAAAACACACCCCATTATATGGCATATGGACTTGAAGTGCTGCTCCATAGTAGGCTGCTACTTGACTTTTTTTCATCCTATCAGAAACAGTGGCTATGACGCTATGAATGGACTTTTTCATGTTTAAACATCAGCCTACCTGCTGTAAGAACACTTTCCTTCCTGGAGGATATTTTTTAGCAGTTTAACATTGTTCAAAAACTCTTTACCTTAGGCTTTTCATCCAGTATTTGCTGACGAATCTCCTTATGTTTCTCTACAAGTTTCTCCTGTCTTTTACTCTGAGCATCTTCTAGCTGAAAGAACAGAATCTTTTTTCAGAGATTGCATATCCCCACTTTTCTACCTCTTCCCCAACAAATATTTCATGCCTCAAAATGTTATTATCAAAACAATGATTCCAGTATAAACTTACACACCATTGTAACAAGCAAGCCTGAGCAAAACTGATCTAACAGTTGTATGTAGACCTAGTATCTCAGATTTCACATGTGGGATTTAGAATCAGAAGTGTCTAAAGGACTTACTGTAGACTTCTAATGCTATTAAAAGCATAATGCATTAAAAAAATTTAGATTTTATTATATGAGCTGTGCAAGATGGATTCTGTTCCCAGAAGAAAAGGAATTGCATCCTATAGTGCTAAATAAACACTCTCTGTGAGCAAAACTGGGCCAAATTTTGAACTGAACCGTCTGCACTGAAATTAAGAGAAAATTTAATAGTGTCATAAGTTTCATAGTGATTTCACACATCAAAACACTGCAATGCATACCTTCATGAAGGTACCATCATGCAGAAAAGAACTTGGGGGTGCTGGTTGACAGCCAGCTGAACATGAGCCAAGAGGGTGCCCAGGTGGCCAAAAAGGCCAACAGCATCCTGGCCTGCATCAGGAATAGTGTGACCAGCAGGAGTAGGGAAGTGACCGTGCTCCTGTACCGGCGCTGGTGAGGCCACACCTCAAGTGCTGTGTGCAGCTCTGGGCCCTTCACTACAAGAAGGACATTGAGGGGCTGAAGTGTGTCCAGAGGAGCTGCCAAGCTGGTGAAGGGTCTAGAGAGCAAGTCATATGAGGAGAGGCTGAGGGAACTAGGGATGTTTAGCCTGGAGAGGAGGAGGCTGAGGGGAGACCTCATCACCTTCTACAACTACGTGAAAGGAGGTTGTAGGGAGGTGGGTGTTGGCCTCCTCTCCCAAGTAAATAATGACAGGACCAGAGGAAATGGCCTGAAGTTGCAGCAGGGGACGTTCAGATTGGATATGAGGAAGAATTTCTGTATGGAATGAAAGAATGATTAGGCACTGGAACAGCCTGCCCAGGGACGTGGTGGAGTCACCATCCTTGGAGGCATTCAAGAAACGTGTAGATGTGGCACTTCAGGCCCTGCCCTAGTGGCCCTGCTCTAGTGGCCAAGGTTGTGGCATTTTTTGTGGGTGTTTTTTGGTGGAGTGTGTGTGGTTGCTTGTGTTTCTTTGCTTTTTTGTGTGTTTGGTTGGACTTGGTGATCTCAGAGATGCTTTCCAACCACAATGATTCTGCGATTCTGTAATTCAGCCTAGTGCACACTACTACCCTTTCAATAAAGCTAACACCTGTAATGAAATTCTTTTACTTGTACTTACAAAGCTCACAGAATGTTGCTTTGGGTTTTGTGGTGGGTTTTTTTTGCATTTCAGTAACTGTATAAATGAAATTAAGGTTAAAAATATACTCTGCAATTAAATGTTTATTGACTTTCAGAGTTCCTTATGCAATCTTTGCATTCATGGGACAGCAAGCCAATTAAAAGAAGTTGGCAGGTTTTCCATGAATAAACACAGGATAGTCAAAGATTAAATAATATCTGTATTAAAATCTGTCCCTTTTAGCACCATTCCTCAAACACAGACTAACAGTCAGTGATCAGTCTGAAATTCCGATTTTTCTTTAACCAGAATGTGAAGAGAAGCCTACACTGCATCTGTTAAAAATCAGCACTTGCACAACCTTTATACCGAATCTTATAATCTGCAGTTTAATATGATCTAAAATATGAAAACTGACAATTTATCCCCAAAATGAAATGTAAGTGTATGGCTCAACATACCCGTTTTATGTACTGCACCACTTCCTGGATATAAGATCGAATCATTTCAGTCTTCTCTCTGGGAAGAAACAACCAATGGTTACTGGAGTCAGTAAGATCACACCCAGAATATTTAAACGCCACTGAACTCCTTACAAAATAAGTAAGGCAATGTTTTGAATGTATGGATCTGCCTGCTTAACTTTATCCACTTCCTGAATGTGCCTTTTGGAAGAGGCTTAATCTTTTTTATGAAGGGCTCAGACAGATTTCCCCATGACCTACCACAACCCTCCCTGCTCTTTCACAACAGGCTTTTCCCACACGGTGCTGCCGCATCTTCAAGGTGATGGTGCTGTTCCTTAAGACCCCAGTGTCAGTCTAGGAAGACACACTGTTAGCAGATGCACACTGCCCTGCTGTGGTACATTATATAGTCTCTGTCAGTGAGCATATACTGCTGGGGACATCTCAGAGACAAAGTTCCCACAAACAGCAGGGCAGACTCGACTTTGGTCCCCGGCTTTGGAATGTAAACCACATAAAGCTGAATTTGGAGGAAATACTTGAACTTGAAGTGACTCTGTGAGAAAGTTATTAGGTAACCATTGGTCAGAGGCTGAAGATGAGATCCCCCAAAGAGATAAACGCACATAAAACAACCAGTTGTGGATACTTGACTTGACCAGATTCAGGACAGTAATATAAAGGTCAAGAACAGTGAATTGCTCTTCAGGTGCCACTAAAATCCTACAGGTTTTGGTAGTTACAGAAGCCCTGGGTACATGTAGCAATTAGAAAAATTAAGTAAGAAAAACTAATACAATGTGTTATCTCTGTGTAAGATTCTTTATTAAATTTGTCTAAAAGCTTTAAACAAGCAGGCTAGCCTGGATGACTTGAATGGGATTCACCTGAAGGTCTTGCTGCTCTTTGTCCTACTGTGAGAGTGAGGACAAACTGTGTCACTTGACAGAAGAAAGCTGAATTTCCCATGTAATTCCCATCTCACCTTTCCCAAAGGCACAAGGAAGTCCTTGGGAAAAATGAGAAGAAAAGTAAAGGGAAAAAGAAACACAAAACAATTTCTAGTTGTCTGTTTCTGAGCCTTTGTCACTAATGTCTCAGTAATCTCCTAGCAAATAATTTCCTACTGCAATTGATTTTTACTGCTATAACATTTTCATAATGACCAACTACTTTTTTCTAATATGACTTCCATGCCCTTTTATCAGCTCTAAGCATATTAAGTATTTCTCCTTTTTTTTTCATAATCAATTATTCTAATGTTATCTTTTTTCTAGGATGTTTATTAAAACACTATATTACAGATCCTTAAATTATAAGATGCATTTCACTGTGTGTGTGTGACCTTTCAGTGTTACCAAATACCCAGATTCTATGTCAAGAGGCTCCAAAATCTGTATAAACCTTTTTCCCTGTAGAAAACCAAACATAGTTGTGTCTTTGCTGCATGGTAAAATTCAGTTATTCTGGATTTTGTTGTTGTTTTGTTCCTTCTTTCTTTTTAACTGTCCTTAAATGTTACTAAAGACTGGTAGCAGGAACATCTCAGCACACAGAGGAAGATTCAAATGGTCCATTTTCTTTCTGAGCTGCTTGCAAAAACAAATGAAGAAGGACAAATAAACCTACATACTGTGCCCTTGGGAAGAATAGAATCAACTTGCACAACTACAGTTGGTATTATCTGGTTGTGCATAAATGAAATTAATATTCCTATCCCTGTTCTCAGAAACTGCACTCTCAGAGCTCACCCTTCCTCTCTCTTCCACCTGAAGTAACTGCAGGCTGCAGAACACTATCACTGGAGAAGAACCAGGAGCCCAGCATCTGAGGGGAATTTATCACAAAAGTAGAGCAAACCTTCCAGCGTGTTGCTGCTATTTCTTCTGGAGAGCAGCTTTAACAGAATTAAGAAGAATGGATAACTCAAAAATCAAAAGCTAAGTTAAGGTGAAATCAAACCCTGCAGGAACTGAAGCCACGAAGTCTATTTATACTCAGAGAAACAGTGTCTGGATGAACAGCATCGTGGTGAATCGCTCTGTCATGCCACTCACAGGCAGGTCCCCAACACCACACATCAGCACCTTTGCAGCTGACCCAAGCTCTCAATACTCACAGGAGATTAGATTAGTCCCAGGAAATTAAATTGGTATCAGCAGAAGAAAGAAGAACTCCACTGCTCTGGTGAGGTCTTATAGTCTGACTAAAATCGGCCTTGTATTTAGGGTCAAGACCTTTCTTTGATTTTCCAGTTGTGAAAAACCTTGTCTCCTCGTAAGGCATAAGGATATGGATCCAGGGATAGACTTACTCTTCCATTTGATTTTTATCCTTGGACTTTGCTTCTGTGATCTTCTCCTGCCTCTTCTTGTCCATTTTTTTCTTCAATTCTTTCTTTTCTCTAATGCATAAAAAATAAAGGCAAGTTCAAAAGGCATCTAAACAAAATCCACACAGAGTAGTAATTATTTGTAAGGGAATAGTGCCTTACTTTTCACATGTTTCTTTCAGTTTCTTTAGCTGGCTGCTCTGGCACTCCTCTGCTACATCTGTCAACTTCTGAATAAGCTGAAAACAAACAAACCAGAAGAAACAAAAGTATTTTCAGCTAAATATCATGCATATATCTAAGTCTCCACAAAGTCTGTAGCAGACATGAAAGTGTTACACCATTTCCTGGTTAATGACCAGTGATTAAAAGCCAGTGAGTGTTCTTATCAGTGTAAATGCATTCTTAACAGCCAAACTTGCATATATGCAACTTACACAGAAAGTCTCTGTACATCAAGGTGATCTAGTCGCAGAATGTTAAGTTTTAAATCACAATGTATTTTGCAGATTTTAGCTTTGCTAGGAATTAAAATACCTATGATAATTCATGAATGGTCACAAATTGAATTTATGCAATACAAACTACAAACTGAATTCCTGCAGGACTGAATATTCAAGGTTCTCTCTAAGTGCTGAAAACATTCCTCTTGCATTATTACCTGGAACAGCTTGGATTTCAGTGTGGTCAGGTGGGTATTGAAAATTCATGCATGATAGCTAAGAAAGCTAAGTATAGATAAGAATAGCCTACATTTTTGATCACAGACTCATGGGTACAAAAAATATGAGTTGTGAGCTTGAAATCTGCTGTGCAGTGTTGGGTCCAATCTGATTTGTGCTGAAACTGCTAACAAAAAACATGCTTGTGGTGCTGATGCTGATGTGAGAAGGCACACAGAAAGGGCTTGTGTGCAAGTTCAATTACTGGTGAATTCACGTAGGAAATGGGACCCATTTACTTTGATCACCCCATCTAGTTTAAGTCTGATACTGTATATAATAATAATAATCCTCTCAGGATGATGAATCAGAGAATGTATAATAATGCCTAGCTAGTCTGATCCAGCTTTTAATTCCTTAAAGAATAAAGATACCAACAGTAGGCTCTCAAAAAAAAAAAAAAGACATCAGAAAGAATCTCTTGGCTGCAAAGCAGATTTTAATCAGAATATTAACGCTTGCACAGCTCAGAGGAAAAGCTGCCTGAGGGTTCTGCACTAAAATATGAATTTATCCTGGCACTACCTAAATGGACAATTCTGAAAATGTAAGTTTGCTTTGAGAAATGCCACTTTCCATTTTGAAATGAGAAGTCAGTTAGCTTACAATAGAAGCCAAACTCTGAGAGTCCAAAATGGGTCATTTTTATAAAAATTAAAATCTCTGAAATGCAGCCAACAACTGTTACTTGAATGTGAGCTCTCTCCTTGTGGCACAGGTAACCAACTGCATCCATGCACTCCCACTGGAGCAGCTGTGATTCACATACAACTGCTGACAAACAGGGCGTCACTTGGGAACTGCAGCTTCATGCCACGATCCATAGGAATGAACTGGTGAAAAGGCCTTGCTGAGCAATATCCACACATATCACTCCTCTGACCTCTTTTTGGATGGCATGGTAGAAGAGACAAATGATTTAAACCAACAGTAATGAGGCAAAACATCATATAATAGGAAAAAAATAGTGAAGGAGGATTGTCTGCAGCTGAGAAACAGTTTACACTCCCACAACACACTTAAAAAATGTTCTTTTCTGCCTGAGAATATCCATCAGCATCAGCTGCCATCTGCCCAAGCTCCTCTATTCCAGCTCAAAGGGCCTATGATCCCACTGTAGTTGTGAGCCAAACTCCAGCTGTAAAAACACAAGCTGGCTTCAGCCATTTCTTCACCATATACAGATTACGTCCTGCATCCACTTAAAGCATTCATCTCCAACAGGAACACTGTTTGGCACAACCCTATGCCCTGGGGAACGTTTGAATCTATTTTTATGTCTTTATTTTCACGGTGTTTTGGTTTATTTTCCAGTTAATCCTGGCTCTTTGAGTGTTTCATGTTTAAAAAAGTGGCAGAACAAAACGGGAAAATGATCCAAAAGCTGCAGTAAACTGAGACTTACATAACTAGAGGCAAGGCCTCTCTGCATTAGCAGCAGTAAAAAACCTGCTTGCCTTTCTGCCTTCTATCCAAAGCCTTTTGAGTTGTTAGAAGCATTAGTGACAAAGTGGATGCAACAACCCCTTGAAGTTGTAACAGACCACAGGGAAACCAAACTCTGAAATGGACTCCAAGTAAGAGGAAGCTTAATTATAATGTCATGCTGATTTCATTACTCACCCTGAGATAGCTAAAGAAAAGCAGACAACATAAGAAACGTACCAGCTTAATATGCTCTCGTTTCTGGTACTTTTCACTGTAATACTGCTCCTGTCGGAGATTTAGCAGCTGCTGTTGTTGTTTCTCCTTCAGCTCCACTAGCTTCTGGGTCATTTCAGAGTCCAGGGCAGCTAATTCCTGTTCAATAGTTGAAGAACTGTGGTCTGGGCTGCCCGTTTCAGATCTGCAAAGACACACAAATACACCATCAAGGTCTAAGTCACCAGGCATGTACACTCTGCCCCATATTCAAACCTTGTTTTTTAAGGCTCCTTGTAATACGTAGGCCATTAAGAAGTTTCTTAGCACCAAATATGGGACCAGAAGATTATTTTAGCTGTAGTAAGTCCAAGAATTTAATATTTTAGGAAAAAAAAAATAGTGTTGACAGTTTATTTATGGGACGCTATTGCTTTTAAACCTCATTTTACCGGGCATAATATAAATGAGTTATAAATGCAGCTGCCAAGATTTCCCATAAACAGATGCCTATGGAACTTGTTTATCCACTTCCAGACATGTAACTTGAACTTCAAAGCTTTAGAGTCCTCAACAGAAATGGTGAACACTAAGTATTTTGAAAACCCAGTCATCCTTGGATACATTTAGCAATAAATTTAAAAGCATAACTTTACATCTGCATTTCCAAAATCCTTCAAATGGCAGGAACTTCCCTTTATTTGGTATTTCCTTCCCCCTTCAGGAAATGCCATGCATAGCACACATAGAGGAAAGTGCTCTATCGACTGCTGACTTCAGGAGGAATAATTACACCCCAGTGGGGGGTAAACCTCAGAAAGGCAGCATACAGGAGCAAATGAAAATACAATGAGGAAGTTAAAAAGCTACACTATAGATCAGCCTTTTTTTTTTTTTTTTTTTTTTTTTTTTACTTTCTTAGGACAGAAGGAAGGATAGATGTAATTGTGAAAGGAGAAATGATGACACAAAATTGCTCAAGTTAAAAATCAGCAGCAAAAGCAGTATCACTTTCAGGCTACTACCAAACTAAACCCAAGAAAAACATTAAAAAACAAAACCAAACCACACGGTTATGCCGTGTCCTTGCTCTGCTGCTGTGTTTCCTGCTGTACTTGGGTGTTAAATCAGTTGCCTGGGAAACCACAGAATAGTGGATGTGATGGACAAAGCAGCAAAACCTTGAACAAAGAGGCCTGACACCCAGAGAGAAAAAATGAGTTTGCTATCCAGAAATTTGCAGAGATTACAATTCAGAGAACTTGCTGCACTGGCTTCCTCTCTCCTTTCCTAGGTCCAAGTTTGCAGCTGCTGTCAAATTAGAGTTACGTCAACTGAAATAATGTGGAACTACTTTCATCAGTCTGAGGACATTAACCCAAGGTAGCTTCTTTCTATGTCTTGTATTTTTTATTATATGTGAACCTCCTATTGAGAGGTCAAGTGGTGTCAGCGTGATAAGTGAGGATAATTTAAATACAGAGCCAGAAGACAGCATTAATGAATATTAATGTCAGCATATTACGCCATTACACTCTACAATACACTCTGCGTTTTCTCTTGGAATTTCAGGAAAAAGAAGTAAGGCCTATTTCAGATGTTGGCTAAAATACTAAGGCTGTCTTTTAAGGGACGTAATTATTAAAAAAGCTTCAGAACTTCACCAGCAAAACACTTGTGCATGTGTATAAATAAATACTTCAAACTTCATTTAGACAATGACTTTACTGAATCTTGGCCCAGTTTTAGACAAGGGCATAAAACATGGATTGCTTCTGCCTGGAGACAATACCTTAGTATGGCAATCTGATACTGGGACTCCTGAGGAAGCAGTGATTTATACTCTGCAGCTACAGGCAAATATCTGCAGTAAGAATTTAAAATGATAAAAATCACCTTTTCCTGGGGATCTGGGATTCTAATAGAAGTCTGCTGCTTGAGCTGATATGTAATTGCAAGTTTGAAAATCCCTCAAAATATATTCCTGCCTTTTAAAAATTCAACCTCAGATTTTTTTTAACCTTCATATTTCTCTGTATTTGCACAGAAAACCTCACATCTCCAAAATCACTGTGATGGCTCCACATAACAGCCTGCAGGGTTTTATTACCTGATACCATGACTGATTTATGGTCAGATCACAACAAAATAAAACCCAAATCCTTTTTACTTAAAGATAAGAGTAATTTTTTATTATTTTTTTTTTAAATTCAGTTTGTTTTCCTGCTTACATCTGAATAGAATATGCTAGAGAAAAAGAATCACATAGTTATGGCTGCCACTAGCTGTGGCATGCATTGAGGAGGGAAAACAGCCAATGCAGCTGACAAGCAAGTCATTAAGGGAGTTTGTTAAACTCAAGTGTTGAACCTGGAAGCCCAAAAACTGGCAACAGTTGTGGCCAACTGAACATAGATATATTATGAGTGTTAATCTCTTATTAAACCAAACGACATTCTGTCATCAGGCAGGCATAAATGAATAAGCTCCTTCCAAGGGAAAAGTTATGGCCTGGATCCCAAGCACTTAAAATGAGAGGTACAATCAAGAAGGTTAGCAGCCAGAGCATGCCTGCAGCCTTTTTCTCTAATGACCTCCCACCAAAGTGTCAAGCAATTTTTTGTTAATGTTTACACAATATCTTAATATTTAAGAACTGCAGCTATATTTTATGTAAAAGTTTAAGGATTTCTGTGCTTTTCTAATTACTTTATAAAATAAATTATGTTAAAATGACAATGCTGCACTAAGGGAAGAAAGAATCATTCAATTGTAGCAGTATCAGGCCCTGACTGTACCTCTCTGAACATGTTTTGCCAGGAGTTCAGAATTTATCTTCATTAACATATAGCCCCATACTATATGATCAATACAATAATTGTAGAAGATTCATGAGCTGTAACAGTCTTTTCATTTAAAACTGATAATGATAACTACAACTCTCCTATTTTATTATTACCTAAACAAATAATACACAAATTAAATCAGCACACACAAAAAAAATAGGGCAGTAAAGATTTAGAAAGAGATACTGCACAGAAGGATGTGCATGTAGAGGCAAAGCAAGCAATCATTAAGAGATCCCAAAGTGGTCTTGATGAATGGTATTTTAAGCAGCAGTCAGATGTTTATAGCTTTCAGGTGTTTTTTTTCACTTAATTATACATCTGATGCCTTCTACTCTTGCATGAAGTTTTTTTTCCAGGGCTCTAGCTTGGAGACAACGCTCTGCACATCCCCAAATTCAGAATATCAATTTTACCCATAAATAGCATAAGAGTAAATTTTGTTCCTGTTTTGATACTTGGGTCTCTTCCACACCAGACAGCACACTGTAGTGGCCCAGAGGAAACCAATGGCTTAATATGGGCAGAATGTCCATGTGTGCTGGCTGCAAGAACTCCTTGCTTGAAAAAGCAGCTGCATTATAAAGTTGTGCTATTAAGTGTGGGCAGAAGTTTCCATGAAACTCATATTACTAAAGGAGAGATCAGCATGGGAGAAGATGAGGTGCTCTGATAAAATGTGATGCAATTGACTTGAGTATGAAAAGTAAAACACTTTATCCAGATAGGTTTGAGTTCCTTCACCCTGCAGTCTGGTTCCTGAACTATCCAGCATACAGGGGCTGCCCCCTCTCACACTTAGTGATTCAGATCAGTACCTAACCACTCACCCTTGCTGTCAGTACAGCTCGGTCACCTACCCACACCCATGGTCCAGAGGAAGTTCCAGGATAAATATTGCATACTCTCATTTATGAGGAAACAGGTGTAACATGGTGAACAACTTATCTGGCTTCTAGCAGAGGAGCAGCACATCACGGACAGGGATTTTTCTGATGATTTCCATATCAAAAGGTCCTAACTTCATTTTACCTAGGAATCTTGCTGCTTTTATTTCTTTTTCTGTCTTCTAATGTCACCTCCATATTAATTGTGTATTATAAAAGAAGACCTGAGCAAAGGTCTCCAATGCCAAAAGCAAGAGAGCTACAATCAACATACCTTTTCTTACTGTCTCTTTTTGCTGTTTTTTCTAAAACTGCTCTCCGTCGCAGGTAGTCATTCTGGATCTCATTATACTTTGCAGTGTGCTCTTTGATAAGGTCAGTGGTTTTCTTGTGGTGCCTCTTTACAAGGTCCTTCATTTCCTTGTAATGTTTTTTCTGAAGCTTAACAAAAGACTTCTGTTGTTTTAGCTCCTCAATAGTCTGTGCTTCCACTTCTACAATGATAACAACAAAAGCCACTTCAATTTTCTAATA